ACCAAGTTGGAAGTCTGTAGGAATTTTCTGGAAGGAGAACCAGTTTTTAGGGTAGCTGAAAAATTTGGTTTTTGGCCCCAAATTTTGCCTGGATTATGTTTTAGTGGGTCCTTGGTCCTTTTCTAGAGCTTGTTCTGCTCTATCGAGTGATACTTTAAGTCTTTCAGGAAAATAAGAACAGCTCATTGTTGAAAATGGAGTTTACTTTTGGGACAACCTAGTATTAGGTTGTAAAGAAAGTTCTGCCAATTCTTTTCATAATTACCAAGAATGAATGTGAATGCAAAAGGATGGATTGAAATGTGTTCTTAGTGTGCGATGGCTCCGGCTACCTATCACGCTATTCAGCTCGAAAAGATGATGATCAACTAGGAAGAAATGCCCAAAAAAGGAGGAAAATTCGTTGCGCTCAGGTCTGCGAAAAGGCACATGTTTGGATTATGAACGCGCAGAACTTCCAGAAGCTTGATCTGAAAATCCGTTTTATACCCTGTGTAATGGCTAGGTGAAGCAATGTCCGAATATTACTTGCCCCGGTATTTAGGTCTTTTTGCAAGCAAGAAATAACTCATTGAATTCAGGGTTCAAAAAATCGAACTCTCCATATTTTGAAGCGCAACCAGCGCGCTTTTGAAAAAGAGCATCTATGAGATACCTAATCAGTAGCCTAAGGTTGGTAGTATAAATGACCAAAATACGCTAATTGACAGTTACCCATGCTATTCAGCTCGAAAAGATGACGATCAACTAGGAAGAAATGCCCAAAAAAGGAGGAAAATCTGTTGCGCTCAGGTCTGCGAAAAGGCGCATGTTTGGATTATGAACGCGCAGAACTTCCAGAAGCTTGATCTGAAAATCCGTTTTATACCCTGTGTATTGGCTAGGTGAAGCAATGTCCGAATATTACTTGCCCCGGTATTTAGGTCTTTTTGCAAGCAAGAAATAACTTATTGAATTCAGGGCTCAGAAATCGAACTCTCCATATTTTGAAGCGCAACCAGCGCGCTTTTGAAAAAGAGCATCTATGAGATACCTAATCAGTAGCCTAAGGTTGGTAGTAAAAATGAGCAAAATATCGCTAATTGACATTTATTCATGATAAGATATAAATAAAACAATTTAGCTCAGCGTCTATTGGCAGAACTTTCTTTACAACCTAATATATTCACACTACCGCGACCAAGTAAGGAACCTGCACCCTATAGTACAATTTATCAGTGGCGTACCGAGTGGGGAGGGCGGGGGGGGGGGACGCCCCCGTCGCGAAATTTTTGTAAGTTACTTACATGAGTTATAAAAATGTGAAAATAACTTGTTTTTTCGTAAACAATTTAAATAATTTTTTAAATTTTTTAAAAATTCAAATTAGCCTTATAAAAAAATTTTTCGGGAACGTGGCTGACGCCACGCCCCCTTTCTCCAGAATTTAAGGGTTGGGGACCCGCAAAAAATTTGAGAAGCCTTCCTAAAAAATTTTCGGAGTGCGTGGCTGACGCCACGCACCTTCATTTGAAAAAATTTTTGCCGCCCCCCCCCCGAGCCGAAATCCTGGGTACGCACCTGCAATTTATCTAAACATGAAAGTCAAAGTTTGTGCAAATCATAACCGTATATATCTCATACACTTCGTTGTGCATGAACCGACTGAGCTGAGATTTTGCAAACAAATGTTCTCATCGCGCAGATGCTTTTGGGCAGGCTACTCGTCAAAGAAATTCGTCAAATTCTTCTATCGATTTATTGATTTTCAACAAATTGTAGTGGAAATAAGCACTTATCAGCTGCTATCCGCTTGCACATTTTGGCGCAAACAAAGCACTAAAGTTGTGCAATTACTGAATCAACCTTTTTGAAGTACCATGCAAAAGACGGGAGGGGGGGGGGCTTCCAGCGCAGTTTTGAGAGTGCAGAAAACGGGCAGATGACACGGCTGAACCGAATTGAAAAAAAAAAACGAAGAAAACGAAAAAGACGGAAAGAAGAAAAGACAGATTGTGAATTTTGATCTTGAACGATGACCAGGGCTGGACCGGAAAAGCTAGCTAGTGTAATATATCTTTTATTAACTATCATGTTATCATTAATTTTTAGTAGGAATCAATTTAACTCATAGTTGAGAAGATTTGCTAAGTCATATTATTTTTGTGGGCATTAAAGTACTACGAATTTTTTGAGGAGGAGTGCCATTTCAGCTGACACGGCCATCCAAGAAGATGTACAGGGCTTATCAGTTGGAATGTCAAATGCATCAGCATCTTTATTACTGCGCTAGACTGTGCGTCTCTTCCGCAGAATATGCTCTCTGACCACTTTTTCAGGGCTAGCGTGAGAAAGGCGGAGCCTCGATCGAATAGAAGTGATTAGAGAGCATGTTTCGCAGAAGACAAGCAGAGTCCAGCGCGGGAGTGGAGATGTTGGTGCACCCCGACTTTCATTTGATAAGCCCTGTATGTTGCTCATAAGGAAATGGTCAGAAGTCGAAATGGCGAATCCAAGCAAGTTGCCTACGATTCGAGGCAGCATTCAACGCTAATTGGGAATCTGTATTCCTTATCTGCTTAGCGCCCTTTTGGACGAAGTTATGAGCAGTTTTATTGCGAAAAATCGTATATAAAATTTGCGAAATTGACATTCTTGCACTTTCAGCTCACCTTCAAGACTTAAGAATATAGAGTAACCTAGCTTCATGTTTTGGCCCAGCATTGAGCCGAACGTGGCTTGTACTGCCAAATTTGTGCTTTGCATGGTCCACTTCTTAGCAAAATAGCGGCTTTTAACGGCGCTAATAACTTCGTCCACAAAGGTGCTAAGCAGATGCGGAAATAGAAATTTGAAGTCAGCCTGTTATGCTGCATCTAATGGTAAGCAGCTTGTTTGGGTTAGCTACTTCGATTTCTGTCCATTCCCTTGTCAGGTCAGTGGTAAGTGATCTCAAAAATGCAATTCTTATTTGCTAACACTTTTTGAAAGAAATATATCGTTAGAAACAAGCAAAAGCGTTGATCGAGAAAGGATTTGAACCTACGACCCTCTCTTCAATAAACGAGCTCGCGCTGCACATTACCGTGATAGCACCCCACTGCGAATCCTGATACCAAGTGGTGTGCCTAACACGGCGAAACTTGTGAATTTTTAAGGCTCGGCAGATTAGATGGCATTGAGGTCAGCGCTCATAATCAGCAGGAAAGTGCAGGTCATGAAATCAGACCAATGAAATCAGGAAGATTTAGCTTTTCAGAATTTTCAACAACCGCTTTTTAAAATTAGATTTGAGTGTTTTGTTTTATCAGCTTGCATTGCCATTAAATTCCAAAAGTGATTCTGCTCCAAACACTACTAGAAATCTTATACTCTTCTTAAAAACATATTGAATAAGAGATTTTGCCAAAAATGGAATTTATTGCGGTTTGCAAGAAACTTGCGCAGAACTTGTATAGCAAACTATTTGGGCATGTTCAAGCATGACTGAAGGTGTGAATGACGGTATCATGTGTTGAAAGCGGAAGCATTCAAAAGAAGTACAGTACGTAGGAAAGGCGTCATGATATGAAGAAAAGATGGGGAAGGGGGATATAAGGGTGTTGACTGTCACTGGATTGATATGGTTGGTGGTCATGCTTGATCCTGTGGGTGAATGAATTTTCTATTTTCCATGAACTTAGCTGGTCGATGAATCTTGCTGAGAAAGGGATTGATGCGTAGTCAAATATCAGTCAGTTGTCGAGAATGTTAGATGAAAAAAATAATGAATAGATAGAGAAAGTCAATAATTGAAGCAATAAATATTTATTCGTAATAACCATGCCTACCTATCCTTTCCTTGCCGCCAATTTCAAGCCCCAAGAAAAGTAAGAAAAATTAGTATATCGATTTAGCCTATATTAGTGGAAATAGCTTACTAACAAAAAACCCGTTCAGAAGTTTATGCATGCGAAGTTTGATTCAAATTTCATAATTCTTTCTAGCATTCTGGGTCACTTATAACAAATGGCTAAGCAAAAATCGCTGGAAGTCAATGAATCAAGAAAGACAATAGATCATTTTTAATATAAGCTTAGTGACACCCGTCCGCCACGAAGTTCATGTTTGCGAAGTTCGGTTCAAACCTCATTACTTTTTCAAACATTCAAGACCGGCAAAAATTTTTTGAGCAAAAACTGCAAAAAATCAATAAATCGATAGAAGCAATCGGTATGTTTTGAGCAAAATAACTTATAAACACACGCCATTCAAATGCTTATGAAATGTGTTATACCCGTCTTGTTTATCTATCTGGTGATACTGCATTAAAATTGCGAACAAGACATTTTTCTCTGAAACCGAACCTCAATAAAAACGATAGAAACAGTCAACAAGTTGCCGCGAAATGTAGTCCATGCTACTCTCCGGTGTTCAGAACACATGCGTCTCTAGACTGAGTTAAGACTTCTTCTATTATTCAGAAAAAAATTTGATGGACAAAAATTGAAAAAATCAATAAATCAATAGGGGCAACCTGTTTGTCGCGAACAAAAGATGTATTAACACACGCCCCTCCCCATACATTAGGTCTGCCAAATTTAATCCAGATTCCTTGGCTCCTTCGATCCTTTTTGGGCGAGCATGCAATTCTAACGCATTCCATAACTCCTTTTATCCTTTTTGGGCAAACATACAGAATTTTCCAGACAAAAACTACAAAAAATCAATAAATCGATAGAGTGGAATGGTGGGTACGAGCAAAATGGCTTGTTAACACACGCCTCACTCTATTATCTGTGCCAGATCTGGTTTAAAGTCCATAACTCCTTTTATCCTTTTTGGGCAAGCATACAGAATTTTCCAAGAAAAAAATGCAAAAAATCAACAAATCGATGGAGTGGAACGATAGGTCCCGAACAAAATGGCTTATTAACACCCCCCCCCCTCCCCCCACTCCATGCATTATGTCTGCCAAGTTTGTCTTTTTTGAGCGAACATACAAAAAGTGGGTAAGCCAAATATATAAAGTATTGATTTAGGCCTTTTCATATTCGAACTCGTCAGGACAAGGAGCTTCTTCGAAACCACGGAAGTGGAAGATGTCGGGAATCATACAACAACATGCTAGACTACCACTCTATCTTTCTCCGTTCTTACGATAGTTAGCTCCTATCTTTCGACTTCTTTCAGAATAGTTTTTTTTTTCAGATTTGCCAAAGTTTTCATATGTATCATTGGTCGAATTAACTCATGGCAACTCGGCAAAATTGTACGAGACTGATTACGACTTGTATGAGTATTTTCTGCGTAATAGAGATGCAGTAAGTATTACATTGAGAATCTTATTAGAAGCGCTTTGGGCCTACTCTTCTTTCAGCTCAAAAGTTCGTTCTTGTTTTTTCTGTCAGACCACGGGCCAAGATTTGGAGGGGTGAGTCACGCCTCGGTACCAAATATTTGCTTCTTCATTGTCTCGGCCCACTTTTGCAAACGAAAGTTCTGCTCTTTCTAACGTAACTAGATGTCAAGAAGAGGCAAGAGCAATGTAACTCCTCTACTAACGTCTGACAACAGCTTTTTGAGACGTACTTCGCTTATACAAAGGATATTTCAGATTAATGTTCACTCAAGATACAGCTGATTGAACAGTTACAATTTGGCCTGATTTATCATTTAGGATCTGATTAGAAAATCCAAACGCATATGTTTGTAGAACCCAAAGGGGAGCAAATGCAGCTTTTATCAGCTTTTTTCCCAGGATTCGTGCAAGTATATTTTGTAAACCATTTATTGTAGCAATTAAAAAGTTCTAACAAATTATTGTATGAGACAATCAAACCATTCTAGCATAAGCGGATTGTTTGAAATTCCAAAGGGCTCGAAAACTAGCCGGATTGAATGTAGTTATGGAAATTGGAACAAACGGACATAATTGCGTACTAGTGAGAAGTTAATTCCCATTTAGCAGATAAATTGCAATACTTAGAAGAAATTAATATTTATCCCTTATATAGTACATTTTCCACAGACATCATTGGCCGGATCGAGAAAAGTAAAAGCAATGTGCACTATTTTCTGAGATTGAAACACATCAAAATACCTAATATTCTAGGAAACTAAAGCTTCTGTCAATCGTAATGAACAGAAGAATCCTTTCTTGTATATTGTACTACCTGAACGTTTACGTGGCTCGCCGATGCATGAGCAGTTGAAAACAAATAGCAAGGAGCTTCTCACTCATCACGATATTCATTCCACGTTGCAGGATATTCTCTACGTAAGTATTCAGTTTTACGTATTTTGATTACTATACAACTTACTTCTATTAATTCGTGTAAAAGTTCGTGCCATTCTGGAACCTACCTGCCCCTATAATATGGATAAACAAACGTTGCAATAGTGTTTGATACTAAAATTCCCCTTTTCGGTGGCAAACAGCGTGTTTCAAAGGTTAACCAGTCTGCAGCTGCAATTAATGTTTGTACTAATGACAGACCGAGAAGAGGGGCGGGGAAAGGTTTTGAAAGTTACTTACGTGAGTCATAAAAAAGTGCAAATAAATTGCTTATACTTATAATGGTAGAAGCAATCATTTGAGGTTCGAATCAGTTCTACTGGCTTGCTTTTTCTAAAATTCCGGAATTATAGGCCCACAATAATTTCCGGGAAATACCCCAAAAAATTTGCGAAGCAGTTAAGGCCGTGCTCTACTCAAAAAAAATTGTCGCATTTTCCCTGCCCCTCCTCAGCAAATGGAAAATCTACCGTACAACCGTACCTAACCAGCATTGCTGTATTGCAAAGGATGTGCCTTGTCGAGCAGTTGCTTTACCCTGAAATTCAACTCGTCTAATCTTTTAGGCAGTGTCCCGGCAAATTCGCGCCCTGGGGGATATAGCTGAAGTGGGGTTCTTGGTCATCCTATTGACCTCCAGGCGCAGTCCGGCTGGTTGATGTTCCCCCTGGGCCGAGAAAATAATCCTTGAACCGGCGCCCGCTTAACGTTCGGCGCGGGACCCCACACCGCTCTCCCGCATTGTGCATGCTATCCAAAGCAAAAATTACAAGCAGCAGAGTCTTCCTGTTAATGCCTCCCAACTTTCCAAGAAAATTCTCGTCCCAGTGCATTTTGGAAATTGGGTAAAAGCCACAAAAAAAGATATTTTCACGCCGTTTGAAGCTCAAATTCGGGCACTGCTGTCGAAAAGGCCTAGAACATGCAGAAAGGTGGAAGTGCAAGAACTGCCGGGACGGTGGTTTTCTTTACACAAGTATAAGGTATTGAACTTATCCAGGCCTAGGCTGCAGAAATGGTACTTGAGGGACTTTGCGTGAGATTTACAAACATTTATCATTGAAAATCTGCCTACTCTCAAAAGATATCGAATTCTCACTTTCACCGCTATCGCAAAAAGACGCATTTTTGACATCTACTTCTCTTACTTTTGCTTCGTTAGTTTTGCTGCGAGAACTGCAGCTCAAAAAGTTCTCCCCCGTGATCCTTATACGTTGTCAATATTCACCTCTTTGATCGGAGATAGTGGGAACAGGTGTAATAAGTGTGAGTAACGGAAAACTGAATATAGATTGAATTTAAAAGCTCCACATAATCGTGTTTTTCCTGGTTTCCATTATAACAATGTCCCACTACACTGTTTGTCTTTTTATCAAAACGAGGGCATAGTGGAGTCAATTTTGAATTTACGCCTGCGGTTCTAGCTGCTGCTGCTATTTTCCTTACAATTAACGCGCGCTATTGTAACACACTATTGTAACACTCTCGCGTGTTAACATCGCTGCTCAACTTTTTTCAAGCTTATAAATTTTTTACATGGTACAATCATATCTTGTAAGTCCTCTTATTTTAAAACCTGAGCTATCTTGATTTCTCTGAACAAATCCAATTACTTTGCTATGCCGTATACAGGTTCTTAATGGTGATATATCACCATGTGTCAGTTATAGTGATGTACATTCTCAGCCGTCAAATATCTCCTCCTACTTGCCATTCAATTCGTCTCAAAGAAATAGAGAGTTCAGGAGGGTGCACCCATCAAATGTATCACCGTGTTGCAGCGGACAGCCAGTCGATGTGACTGAAGCTGTTGTAACTGAATGCGACAAATGAGCAAACCAAGATAACACAATGTTGCTTATATACGCGCAAACAACCTTATAGTTCACAGAACGACAGATACGGCAATAGATCACTCGTCAAAGAAAATTTTTCATCTTTGCTGTTCAGTTTCGAATCTCGGAAAAGAATGTATGATGGTTTTAAAGCTTTTCGAGCAGAAATTTGTTGTTCGTAGCCTAGAATTTTGCACCTAATTTCGTAATCGGCACCGCCATGTTCTATCATTCAATGCTTTCCCAGCGGGCCTATCATGCTTTGCCTCTTTTTGCTAGTTAAATGTTCGTTAATCCCTATACTCAATTGTCGGCCGGTCTCACCGACATAGATGGCATATCGAGTAACTACTGCGATAAAGCGACGTCTGATACAGGCTCAACTTGACGATGATGTTGTTTTAGTCAACATACCGCGAAACATCAGAAGGCAACTAGTCTGTAACAGGCTGTTTTATACTGACGGTATATCACGTGACTGCGCAGTTTGCCCGTGCGGAAAATGCCATTGTGCAAAATCTGGTGTCGTTTACGAAATTGTGTCATCTTGGTTTGCTCATTTGTCGCATTCAGTCACAGCAGCTGACACATCGAGTGGCTATCCGCTGCAACAGAGTGATACAATTGGTGGGTGCACAGCTCCTCTTAAACACTCTATTTCACTTGAGACGAAGTGAATGGCAGATAGGAAGAGATATTTGGCGGCTCAGAACGTATATTAACAATTGACATTTTTTCAGCCTTTGAAGACGGCGTCCTGCCGAAACGCGGGGCTATAAAGTTTTATCACAATTAACAACCTGTATACGGCATAGCAAAGTTATTGGTGTAATCATATTTCAAAGGAGCTTTGTTGAAAGCTGTCACTCACAGGGTGTCCCAAAAGTGTGTATCCAAATATTTGACCATTGACACATCTCCTCAAAAGGTGTCGTTTGCCTACTAACATCTGCCATCATGTGGAACTGGCTTCAACTTAGGCTTACAATAGGAAGCGAGTCACCGTTCGCTCTTCTTATTGTGGGGCTCTGTGGGAACTTCCGGCATATGGAGTCACTTTGAAAAGGTGCCGGTTCGACTAGTTTTAAAAAGGCTAAACTCGTTTAATAGGTTTTCATGGACGCTGAATACATACTCAACTTGTACAGGACCGTGCAGCTTTCTTAGCGGTGCAACCACATTTTTAGAGACATCGGAAAAACGAAACCCGGCATAACATTTTAACAAAGCATTGTGATATATATATAGCATTATGATATGTAAACTAGCTAGAATCAGTAACTCTGACTAGCGTAGTGTAAGATTTTCAGATAATTTTGTTTTCTTTCTGCTGCAGAATATGACCATCCTGACTCAAAATTCTTTTCATTTCCTATAAGCTCCTATCGTAACATCCAGTAAGAAGAGCGATGGGATTCTCATTTTACTGTACATCTAAGTTGAAGCCCGCATTATATGTGCATACTTTTAAGACACAACGCATATCGCTATACTTGGCGTAACTTAGAATGTAGCACAATGGTAAAATGCACAGTTCATAATCTGTGCCAGCGTCTCTGACCATAAGGTCGCCGCAGCACGCCGCGTCCTGTGGCGAGCGCCGCTGCAGTCGCAGTAAAAATACGCTCACGGCAGCACAGCCGAATCTTGCGCGAACTCTAACGACGAAAGCTGAAGTGTAGAATCCCATAGGATTCTACATGCATGTGGAATCTGATGAAGCAATACTGCAAAAAGCGAGTATCTCATGAGTAGAAATAAAGGAAGTAGCGCATTCAAGTCGTTGATGAAAACAAGAGCGAAATAAGTTTGATGGAATCAAGGAAGCACACAAATTCAACTCGAATGAAGACTCATTCAGTCAACCTTCGATTAACGATGGGACAAGATAAAAGCGAGAAAAGATTTTACGCTGTAAAGGAACACTCTCGGAGTATACGAACGTGCAGCAAATATAAAAATACATCGATACAGCCAAGCTGGGTTGCCGTGAGCGTATCTTAACTGCAAATGCAGCGGCGCACGCCGCAGGCTGCCGCGTACTGTTGTATAGCATGTAGGGATCCATAGTCTAAGATTCTTTGAGTTGTTTGGTTTGCTTTCTGACGCGAAATAAGGCTCGCAATGCCTCAAAGTTTTGTTCAGGAATCCTACAGTGATCTTACAGTGATGAATAGCGATTGATGGTTCACTAAACACCGTAAATCTAAGCCAAACTTGCTCTGCAACAGTGTTTTTGAAAAAAGAGGGCGTGTTTCCTGATTACTCGTTTTCGCAAGAGAGTTCTTGAAAGCGACGTCCACGCAAATCTAGGGTCGCACAGGGGCACTTAGCGTCGCAAGCGGAAACTGACTTCGGGAACTTACCTTAGGGCCGCATACCTTGATATCTCCACCGGAGGAGGAAAGAATCGCACTTTGCAGAAAGCTTCACATCCTAAAGTCAGATGCCTAGAGTTCACGCTGTCCATCCATTTAGAGTAATGCGTACCGAGGGGAGGAGCCAAGTGGGTAGCAAAATTTTTCAACCATCCGAGTTACAAAAATGTACAACAAACTTGTTTATATTAGGTTGTCCGGAAATTAACGCAGGTTTTGAATTTCAATCGCGATAACCTCAAACTCCTTATTTTTGGATAGGTTGCAAGGTACCATTCGATAGAGCAAAGCAAGCTGTACAAGAAGGCAATTTTGCTTTAGCCACAGCTCTGATCCACCACGAGTTTTGAGACAAAAACTAAAAAGATTCAACTGCCCGAAAAATTGAGAAAAATCGTAACTCAGCTCATAAAAATCCTACAAAAATTCTAACTTGCTCACGTAAACACTATTCACATAAGAGATCTATATAAGCCGTCGCTGCCTTTTTTCACCCCTCAAAATTCAAGAAAACGGAAATTTCCGAGCATTTGTCAAAGTGGTGCTGTGCCGTTTCCACTTGTGTAGTTGTATACTACAAAGCTGTAGAAGCACAAACGTAAATTTTCAGCCCTCTACAAGATTTAGTTCTCGAGAAATATTGAATAAAGTTTTCCCTAGTCATGTGGTCCAAGCTAAAATTCAAATTTGTCGAGGACCAAAGCTTATAGAGAGCTGGAAATTTACGTTTGTACTTCTACAGGGTACTGTACAATTACCTATGTGGGGA